TTTGCAGTAAAATATCTTTCTCTGACCTTGTATTCAGAGGAAAAATAGAATATAACAAAGGCAAATTGACATGTTGTCAATTGACTTTTAAGTGGTAGAAAAATAGGAATAATGCATGATTTAATATTTAAAAACACAATAATTAAAAACTAATTTTGATGCTGGTCCTCCCTGTCATGAGTTTACTTGCTCTAAAAAAAACTAAATGGGAATTTTCTTTCCCCTGCTGCAATGTGAGAGAGGGATGTTGAATGGGGAGGATAGTTTTCTGTGTTGGGCAGTTGACCTACAAAAAGGAACCAGCTGGCAGAACTACATTCCAGGCTGATAGCCCTCTCTAAGGCTGGGGGAGGTGGGGTGGCAGTGAGGAGTTTTTCTCCCCTCCTCTCCTTGGAAAGTGGCACTTCACTTTTTACCTTAACGGGGGCAAGGTGTGTGCTGGAAAAACTCTGAGGCCATTTTGCTCTCGGCGTGGTCGTCTGGCTGTTCTCTGGCCTCTTCTTGCCTGCGATCTGTTCTGTCACCAGATGGACCTGCTCAGATTTCACCAGAGAGTTTGTGCTTGATGAGGAAAGGGGGGAGTCCTGACTGCAGCCAGCCGCTGACATCATGAGTTTCGTGGGAAAGAAACCACCTTCCTTTCCCCTTTTCCCCTTCCCCTCCTTTGTGGGGGAGTCGTCTCCATTTTGGCTTCTCCCGTGATCCGGGGCCCCCACACAGCAACCACCAGAGCCCAACAGCACCCCCTGCCGACCAACACCGAGCACTGCAGGCTCTGCTCCTCCAGAGATCCAACAGCGCCCCCTGCTGACTGTGATTAGAATCGCGCTAGAGGACAGAGAAGTATCAAACTGTTTCCTTTTGAAGGGGGCTTTTGGTTACAGGATTATTGTTCAGTTGTTTTTTGTCTTCTTTTGCTGTTTTTGCCAACATACGTATATTCTTTAATAAAGGGCTGTTATTTCTTCCTTTTTCCATACTTCCTTGATTTCGGATTTACAATTGCTGAGAGAGAGGAGTTTGGTTTACTTCATAACTCATCCTCCTTAGCAAAACACTTCAGTCTCCTTAAACTGAGACACTCCCATAGATTTGGAACGTTACCACATATCCAGAACTTGCAATGCAGCATCATTACAGAAATTCCTAGCTCAGCACCAAGCAGACTCCTCAGCAAAATAACATGCTGATATACTAGTTTAGCCCCTGTACTGCAGTATTATGATACTATTTCTGCCTCTCAGCAGGTTAATTAGCTTGGGAATGGCAGAGTGCTTTTGATTTTCGTCTCTAAAATTACTTTGTTCAAAGCTGGTTTGGCTATTTCTCTGCACTGCTTTCATGTCTCCTTAATACTGTTGTTTTCATGTTTTCTCATCTATAATTTGAGCTCAATTCCAACGATCCTTTCAGGAAAACATTTAGGTCTAGAAATTTTTAAAGGATTCTACAGATTATATATAGTTTGTCTCCACGCTTTGGACATTTTTGGGAACATCAAGTGTCGGTTGGGCAATGTTTCTACCAAACTGTGGAGACTCTTTAAAAAAATCTCATTAGAAATATTTTCCTTCATAAACCCTGTTGAAAATTTAGTATCCATAAATTTCTAGGTTCTGTTGACTTTGTTACATAGCCTCATGAATGCATTTAATGATTTGTTTTCATTTTTCCTGAATGATGGCCCTGATTTATAAGATATTTTATCATTAAATGTGGAGTGTAAAATTAATTATTAACATTTAAATGATATTCTAGCTGAGAGTAGACAGGGCTTTACATTTCTCTGTGAATTTAATTTTGTTCTCAGTAGGTAATCAAACCTAATGTCTAGTGAAACTTTCCACATGCATATTTGTAGTAACCTGCTTTCTTTGGTTCTCCAGTAACTAAGAAAACAGTAATTTTTCCATCAACAACCCAAACTATATGAATCTATAAATCAATGATTTTTAAACTTGTGACCATATTTAGATGAAATAATAGATGAACTAAGGCAGGTGTATTACTAGACTTCTTTAGTGATAAAGACATTAATTTCATAGGTAATACAATTGATAATGAGGATCAGTGCTTAGACTAGCAAATAGCCATATAATTAATTTAAATAATAGAGACATAATAAGGTTTAACATGGAATAGAAGTATTGAAGTTAAGGTGATTAAGGATGGTAAGGCACTGGAACAAGTTACCCAGAGAAGCTGTGGATGCCCCATCCCTAGAAGTGTTCCAGGCAAGGCTGGGGGGGGCTTTGAGCATCCTGCTTTAGATGCTGAGTGATTGGAACTAGATGATCTTTAAGGTCCCTTCCAAATCATTCTATGATCCTGTGATTAAGTGCTGATACTTTTAATATATTAAAAGTTGGGAAAGGACTAAATATCCTGGGTAGATTTCTTTAAATAGTTAATAGATGGTAATATTGATTTATATTTTTCCCAAGAAGACAATTCAGGAAGCTTAACATGTGAATATACACTTATAAACCTAGCAGATGAGTTTATTGTGGCACCTATTTATTCTTTAGGTAACATCTGTGTTCATTCCAAGTAAAATTACAGTTTCTAGGAGGCTAGTCAATGCTACTTAGCTGTTTCTCATAAATATTTCTCTTTTTTTCATCTTTGTAGCCCAAATTGCATTCTCAAAGACAAAAGGTCTTATTTATTTCAGGATTATACAAACAGAAATGAGTCCCAACACAGGTGTTAGGAGATAAATCTGCAAACTATTCTAAAAGATGTTGAATTTCCCAGTGTCACTAATTTAGGAATGGCTACAAGTGTACTGGGATATCAGGTGGAATTCAAAACCATTTTGACAAACTGGGGGAATGGCTCTTCCCTCAACAGATCTCAAGGAAGCCTTAACTACCAGCTTGAAGCCAGACAACAGCTTGAAGATGTTTAGCTTAGAGATAAGTAGACCGGAATCTAAGTTGTCAAATACGGCAAAGGCTCCTACCAAGGTGTAATACTGTGTTCTTGTTTTCCATAAGATTGAACAGCAAGAATGAAGACTTCAATCAAAGAATTAAACATTAATATTTATTTTCCTAACAATAAAAAAATCTGTAAAGATAAATCTGTAAGGATCAGATAGAAAGATGTCACAGTGATGACAATATAGGATATACTGTATTGGAGTAGTCTTAATGTTGTGATTCTGAGCAAAGTGGTCTCTGATGCAAATGAAGATTATTTATTTTCCTCTATCATGGTACGTGAAGAAGTGAACACCGAGTAGTGAAATCTGGTCCTACTTGCATTCTCCATACCTCTTACAGCTTACCTGACAGCTATACTGTTTGTTCACTTGGAATTCTTCTGAGTAGTGCAGTGAGAAGCTGTGCAGATGAAGTGTAAGGAAACATTCCTTTTAGCTGATATCATCAATTATATGTGGTATACTTGAAAGCATGCCTAGAGACACAATGACAAACTAATTTTAAGAATTGTATTGTCACCTACAGGTACTTGTTTTTGGCAGTGAAAATTTTTCTCTTTCAAAAATGGTGAAGCTTCAGAGCCATTAATTCCTGAAACAGTTCTACAGACCTTGGTGAGCTTTAGGAATTAGAACTTGTTTTTGTTAAAGTAACAGGGAAGGTAATGGTAAGTTAATTCAGTATTTCAGGTAAGAATGTGGTTTGATTGCTTTGAAAATGTCTGGCATAATGCATCTGTGTATTTAGTTTTCTTGTGATCTTGTGTTTATTGAATGTGCTGAGGGTGGGTTTCTCTAGGGTAAAACACCAGTTGTCTTGAATTTCTGTTACTTGCAACTCACCATCATGAAAATGGATATCCTTTTGTTCAGTATGTGAAAATTTTCACCTCAACTTGACATGCTGTTTTTTTTACTACAGTCATTTTGTTACCTGTCACAAGTGAGATTTTTCCCACTTCTGGGCTCTTTGGCATCCATGTTTATCTCATAGGGAAGAGGATGATGTTCTTTCTAATATTCACCAGGATGCCTACTCTGAACATCTTGGACTTCACAGGAACAGTCCAAACAGGGAATTAAACAAAAGAAAAGAGAAATTCCTGAAATTCCAGTGAACCATTAACAAGTTTTATAAATTGATTTGCGATGCCAAAATTCTCATATTGTGATGAATCCTAGACATATTAGTGTATCCTGGTCATGTACCTTTCTGAAACAACACATTTTGGGTGTCAGTGTACTTGGAATTGGAGAGATTTAAGTAATTTCTAACATGGTAAGATACCGTTCTAGCTGTGAAGGTAGTTTGAAAAGCATGTAGAAATTGCCAGCTACTGTTGGTAAAGGGAAGTCATTACAGCAAGAAATTAATTCAAAGAATGCTTCTCCTGAGTATGTCAGAAGAATCTTCTCTTAACTCTCAGTAATTCTCCACCTGTGTTGGATTGGTTCCCTCAATCCTTAATATTGTAAATGTATTCTTATTAAAACCTTGATTTTTAATAGTGCATAATTCTCCTCCTCTGCCTACCATTTTTTCCGTGTTTTAGATATCCTTTCACAGAGGTGCTACATCTTTGCTCTGTGGTGAGTTCATTGGAGCCAGCTGGAATTGGCTTTGTCCAGCACAGTGTGACCCCAGCCTCTTCTCACAGAGCTATACCCCACCAGCATGAAAACCTTGTTGTTTGTACCTAATACAGGATGCAACTGCTTTCACCATTTAGAGAAATCCAGCTACCAGCTCATGGTATTTACTTGAGTACTGTTATTTCTGGAAATTATGATCTCACCAAGGGGTAAGGACATGGACTATTCAGGCAAACAAGAAATTCAAGTATGTTTATGTTTGCTGTCACTAATGGTCTGTTTTGTTTGTGTATGTCGGTAGCTGTACACATGTAATGAAAGTTGAACTTTTCCTTATGACAGTAATTTCAGCCTTTAGTATTGAATATAACTCAGGATTTTAGAGTAACACACCTATCAGACCAGAATGAATCTTCAACTTACTGTTCTGCTTATTCTCATTTGTGCAGCTGGCTAAGTGCAAGCTGTTCTTCCGGAGAGTGCAAGTCTCCCAAGGGTTTTCTGACCTGCTTCTAAGAAAACCACCACTACAACACTACTTTCTAGAGGTACGTGGGTGAGCAGTAGGATGCTATTCTCCCTGTTGAGGTGTACCACTGCTGCATTATGCCCAGATTCTTTCAATGGTGGGAACCTTCCTCAGTGGCATAGAGCTGCAGCAAATGTACCAGAACTACAGATTAGTGGAGCACTACATGTCCATATGTTAACTGAATGTTGTTGCCGTTGTATGGTGTAGCACAACTGAACCTCAGCGTACTGTACACATAGCAGACTGCATCAGTCTAAGTCAGGTCGTTCTCTGATCAGTTCAAATAAAAGTAGTCAAAGCCTCTGACACAAGATTTTCTTTTTTGGGTGTTCCATTCTTGGTGGAAAATGGTGTGATGCAGAGTCCAGGGGCCGTCTAACTACTGAGTTTTATGCCATATTTTTTCCCTCTTATAAAAGGAAAGGCTTCTTTTCTGCTAGTAGGTTGCAGTAGTCCTGTAAATTGCATTCCTGTAGTTATGTCTGAAAATACACCTCTGAAGAAGAAATGTAAAATATTTCTGTGACAGAAGACCTTGTTCTTTATATGCCCTGAGTGAAGAAAGCTGAGTATTATCTAACAACTTGCAGTATTTTTAAAACCTGCTTGTGGGAGGAGTGTCTAAAGGCACAAGGGATGTGCCGAGGCAGAAAAACCCAAGAGAGCATGCCCCGACATAAGTAACCTGGTTGGTTAAAGAAGTCACATGGTGTTAAGGAATAAAACCGTGCAGAGTTTGAAATAAAGTCTCTTTGTCCCGCCATCCACGAGGAGCGTACTTCTTCCTTGTTATACAAGGACCGCGTCTACTACACCTGCTTAGTTTCTTTTTTTTTTTTTTTCCTCCAGAGGGACTACAATAAAGCACATATATTTGAACTGTGTAGAAATAGTGCAGAATTTGACCTGAGGTAAATTGACCTAGCTCTGTGGCCATACACAATGGAGATGTATTTGAGTGGCATTTCTTTCAGGAATGACTACTCAGAAAGTCATTAAACTTACAAGGATCTTGAAAAAGAATATATGATACCACAGCCAATAAAAACGCAGTTTCGAAGATATAGAGTGGTAAGTAAGGTTGGACTGGGAATTCTGGATTCATCCTCTCTGTGCTGCTCCAAGATGGAAAGACAACTGTATCACAGCTGGATTGTTATTGTTACCACTCAGTCAGTGTTTGGAAGCAATGGAATGATAGTCATATGTACAGGTGATGAAGGCTCACTTTGTTTACAGATGTGGTAGATGGGAAGGAGATAGAGAGTGTGAGACTAAAACAGTAAACATTACTTCATTCTTGACTGAGGGACTTGCTATTACCTTGCTATTACCTGGATCATCGCTGGTTTTCTGTAAATATTAGCTGCTAGAATTAGTTGTTAAACTCAACAGTGGTACCTGTGCTAAGTAAGGAGCCTAGACATATGGGAATTTAATTTTGTCAGCTGAAGTGAACTGAAACTGTGTTGTAGAGAAGAGTGATTATTCTTAATAATATGTTGCATCACGAATACCCACAGAATGGGTAATTTATTAGATGCACAGCCCTCTGTCAAAAATTATTATCTAATGGCACGAAATACTACAGTAGCTATCTTTTATCACCACTTATCTAGCTGATAGTAATTTGGGGATTTAAAACTGTACTAATGTATGCTGCCATGTTAATTGGGTGCTGCTGATAAGGCCAAGAAACTATCAATATATATTGAACAGTGACTGTAAGTAAACTAATAATGGTAACTGGATTTCACACTAAGCAACGAAAACAAGTAAATTCTTTTGACTGATTTAAAGGTATGATCAACCTGTTGCTGAATGTTTCTTGAATTGAGCTAATTGATGCAAAATAAACCAGTCACAAATGCAGCAAATGTGGGAGATGGAATGATTAGTGCATGATTACAATGTGTGGTCTTTGAAGAATGTTGTTTCCTGAAAAATTTGTTGAACTATGCAATAAACCCATAAAGCATGGAAAATAGACTAATCCTTATTAACACTGTAAATAAGAGATTATAAATATTTTATCATTTTTTCTTCCTGGCAAAATGCTATAAGAAAACAACAGGAAGGGGCTAAAAGGAGAAGGTAACTTCTAAAAAGTTACAGTGGAAATAAATAGCTGTATTAGTGTAATTACAGGACATTAACCCCAGTATGTAGACCCTCCCAGTGGAGTTTAATATATAGAATGTACAGGTTCTTTTTCCTCTTCTTTTTCTTGTAAACATGAAAATTCATCCAGTTTTTAGATAACCACTAGCCCTACTATAATCCCGTCAAAAAAGGATAGTATTTTCACTAGTCATTACAATATCTTTACAGAGCCACTAATACCATTAAATATATGTGGTGATTCAACATTAGGTTACTGTGCCACAGAAGTGAAAAAAAAAACAGTTACAGGTATTATGTTTACTCCATTTTTCCAAAATGCTGTATGTTTGCACGCCCATTCAGGAAAAATGTCCCAAATAGTTAGATATGAAAATGGTAAAGGGAAAAAAAGCAGAAAAAAGGCTTATCCTTTCAGTCTCCAGCATCTTCATCCTTTGAGTCCTTATCAGCTTTCACCTTATCTGAGCTGCTTAACTTTAAAGCAGAAGCCTGGTCACCTAAAGACATGACATACTTCTTATTGTGAAACAGCCTATGCAGTTTAGCCAGGCACAGTACATCTTCTGTCAGAACTGCTTGAAAAACAAAGAGGCTCTACCAATCCTTTAGTACATTCCTGAATATAATGGGTATCACATCATGTAGATTGAGGAATTGCGGGACTATGGAAGACATTGGGGGAAATAATTTATTAACAGCTCATTCCTCTCTGGACCCAGAGGAGATAAACACTTTGATTGCATGTTTATATATATTCTCTTTAATTATTTTGGAAACACACAGTTGGGGTTTTTTTTGTGTAGAAATAAGTGTTCTGCTACCAATTTCAAAGGAAGCCTTACCTTGTACAACTGTCTTTGAACATTTAACTGGGAACTTTGCATTTGTTAAGCACTAGATTCTATCTATGAACTAAAAAGCAGCGGATTGGTAGGGGTAGATATTTTTTCTTGGCTGTGTTTTCTGTGAATATGTTTCTTATTTGGCTGTTGGAGGTCCAGAGAAATGGAATGGAATTGTTTTAGCTGAGAGAACCTCCACCTAGTTTTACAGGAAAATTTCTGTTACCACAGCTTTGCATCAAGATGTTTTCCAGTATTGTAAGACAGCAGTGACCCTAACTAAGAGACATTATAAATGTATCATATTCAGGATTTCTGGAAATCTTACTTCTTATTTCATAGCTGTTTTGAGTGGCTTTCAGCAGCTTTTGTCAGTATCAGAGGATTTGTCCAAGGATATTTAGAACGATTTGCAGTGTGGTTTATGGTGAAGTGGTAGCCATTTCTTTATTAATAGGAAAGTATAGAAAGTGTATGATTTATATCTTCTTGATTCCATTTATGCTATTAAACATTCACATTTTCACTAGTTTTGCTGGTGAGCAAATTGTGTTACGTAGCTGTTAGCTGGTGTATAGCTGTAGCTCTACGGCTAACATGGAGCTGACATGAAAAGGAAATACCAGTCTCAGTGCTAGTAAAGTTAAAAGTAAATAAAAACATTTAAGTGAATTTCATTACTACTGATGTTAGCAATTGCAGATCAAGACTGAAGGTACTCCGTTCTGAGAATGATGGCTTTCACTCTGTCAGAGACCAGTAGTGTACTGATGAACCTGTAACTGTGCTGTGCATGTGTGGTTTTTGTGTTAAATGCATTTGAAGTAGAATAAACTTTGAAGAATGATACATTTTTATCTGATCATATGTTTTTGCTCCTCAAAGTTTTATGTTGTGTAAAATCTGAACACACTGCACATCTAATGTCACCTTACTGAAACAAAACCACAAGTTTTACTTCTGGAACATATATTTTAAATGCCAGCTCTCTAATTCATCTCTTGCCTCCATCCACTGATTTTAAAATAACCTTCAGTGACTTCCTCTGTAGTGGATTTCAGAAGTAGGAGTAGTGATGCAGAGTCAGTTCTTGCTGTGACATTTTTTCCTTTCAAATTGTCACTCTTAACAAAAAAAAAAAAAAAAGCTTTGCCTGATATTACTTTCAAACATGTAGACTGGCGAGTTTGGAAAGAAGAACTCATAGAGCTTATCTCATGTTTAGGCTTTCAGGATTCCACTAGGAAATATTTTCTTGTAATCAAATTCTTGACATCTGAGGCTCTCTAGTTATACCAGTTAGGTTACTTCCAACACTTTCCTGGATGCTCAAGTTTGCCACCTTCAAATGTATTGCATATCGTTGTTTCAGGTACGTTTAGTGGTACCAGTCCTTCTGGAGCTGGTCTGGGAGAGATATTTGCAGAAATTTCAAACTGTATTCTGTGTTGCAAATTTTATATACCCTGATACTTAAATCAAGTAAGTGAGTTGGAAGAAGTGCCCTCCTTCCCACTACTTTCATAATTTTTTAGGCAAATGATCTAAAATATATCAGAGATGCACTTCTAGACACAGCCAGAACAACAGGAAAAGGTCTTTCTCCCTCAGGAGTGGCACACATTTACAGGCCTTGGAAAGCAATGAAGCCAATTTATATACATAAGTATTTTTATTTCAAGGGCCTTTCAATATAAGAATCTTAAGAAGACAACTGTAGACATCTGCTACATGTGCAGTGGAGCTACTATTTACTATGATCTTCTATGTATTTACAGCTATAAGCAAAAGGACATATTGGCAATTTGATTTGCTGCATAATAGGCAGACAATGCAAAGCACAAAGCAAGCATTCTGTGTTGTGGTAGGAATGCTCAGTGTTACCAAAGCTATTGACTTTTCCCATTTGGCTCGCAGGCTTTTGGAGAGAAATAACATATGTACCATAGTGTAAAATGTGGACTTAATGAACACACAGGCATTATGCTATACCAAATGGAACAATAGATGCAATGGCAAACTACTTAAGAACAAGTCACAATGTTTTGTTTGTTAGACACAGATTTGCGTTTGGCAGTGTTATGAGGAAGAATGTAGACATTTAATTTCCAGTCCAAGAACAAATAGAAAATGTTCCTAATGTGCACTTGTGTTTAGTTTAAATAGCAATGTCAATATTTTTGTTTAAAGAAAATGGTAGCAATTTTGGTTTTGATTTTTCTTCCCCTTTGGATTTTAGTTAAGAATTCAGTGTTTTTAATTTGACTTTGACTTTATGGAGACTTCTGTTGAAGCATTTCTTTCAGATCTCAAGTGCAGAATGGTTGCAGAAATGTTCTGCTAAAAATAAGGGAAAAAAGAAAAGAAAAAATAAAAAAAAGAAATCCTTCATTAAAGTGCTAATGAATTTAGTTAAGGACCTTATGTAACCTTGAAGTGCTGTGGAATTAAGCCGTAATCCCACAAAGCCTTAAGAACATGAATAATATCCCTGGTCATCCAAATTATTGTAGGTTTAATTATTTAGTATGGAAATTCCATACAGAATAAACCAAATCATTTCTACTTTTGCTGATGAAACTCAAAGGAGGAAAAACAATGTTCTGGATAGGTCGTTGGGCCAGTAGCCAGAAGGTAGTCTTTCATTTGATTTGAATTTGATTTAGAATCTGGAAAATACATGTTGCTTAAACAATAAAAAACCTGAGCACATCAAGTATCCAATTTCTTTTTTCCTCTGGCAGCCATTTTGTTTTGTTCTGAGTGAGCCCATCAGTGGCACCCCTTTTCTGTAGAAATTTTTCAGAACATTATTGTTATTGTTAATCCACCAGAATCCCCTTTTCACAAGTCCCGAGAGAAAGGTTGGTGCACCTTTTGTCAGGGAATGTGTGATCTGAAATTTCTTATTAGTGGTCACTGTCTGTGAACCATAAAAAACTCTGAGAACAGGTACATAACAATTCAGAACCTCTGCTTCTGCTATAGTATGCTATGTAATCCAATTATGTAGTGTCAAACAGCTGCGTGCCCAGTAAGGCACAGGTCAGTCTTTTCTGATGAAGTGGGAATGATGTGAAACAATTTGCAGAGGTGTGGAACACTGCTAATATCTTCCTGATCTGAGGGAGAATTTTTGTTAAACTTTGTGTTAGCCATGTGAGGTGTTTGTATTCTGTCTAAATGCTGTTCTGCAGGAATGTTTTTATATGCAGCCCCTGTCTTTTGCTCAGGCCTCTGCTACATAAAATTGTAAAGTCTGTGCAGAATCTGAATGAGGGGGGCTGGCATAAAAGTCTGAACAAATACAATATGTATTACCCCAACAAAATCTATAAGCCTATGTCCTGATCTGCTTAGACTGTCTATAAGCAGTCAAGCAGCTCTTCTCATGAATTACAGCAAGTTTTAAGCACGTTTTTGGTGTACAATTAAACCAAACTTTTTGTAACAGTAATATAACACAATATGTGTAATCTGTAGCAATAGAGCTAAAAAAAAAATCACTTTATTCATAAATTAAGTTGACATTTTGAAAGGTTAACACAAGAGCTGTTTTGCTGCCTGTGATCAATAAAAAAAGGATTTCAGTAATTAAAATCTCTGATGTAGACATTCCTTATTTGGTGACTGTCAGAAAGGACAAAACAGAGTTGCCATAGACAAGAGATAAATATAGATAAAATAAGCCTTGCTCCTAGGAGTTCTTATCTACAAGAGGAATTAGTGGTGCACAAGTCTTTCCTGGTTCAGACTGTAAATGAATTAAGAACATGGTAAGCATTGCTATGAATTTTCAAGTTGGTAAAGGAAGAGAAAAACAGGATGCACTATACTATTTTCGCAGAACTACAGATAAGAAATAACTGTTAGGTAATATTAGATATTGTACATGTCTGATACATGGACATGTTAGTTGTTTAAAAATGTTTAAAATATGCATAGATTCCTGGTTTTTTTGTGCTTATAGAATTAGATGAAGGCCCTCTCTTTCTAAAATGTCCTTACTGTAAGAAAAAAGGGGAAAAAAAGGAGCATTTAAACACAATCCTTTAGCCCTTTTGTAAATTTGTTTTAAAGTTACATTTTCTTGTAAGTCCTGTTGGTTACTGATAAATGGTGATAAATATTTTGTTATTCATAACCAAACCATGACAAGATAATAACCTGGTTTCTGTAAAATGGTATCTGCAAGAAAAATATTTTCGGTGATTAGTAGGAGAGAGCAGCCTCATTAAGAAGGCTAAGAAGTGTCACTGATGTGGCTCCAGAAGAAGGAGCAAGTAGGATTGTTGGCTCAAGAGCAGTGGTTGGATACAGACTCCTTAGGAGTAAGAATAGGAAGGAGAAGAGATTGCATTGCCCTTTATGTGAGAGAACAACTGGAGTGCATGGAGCTGTGCCTGGGGTTGAGTAAGGAGCCAGCTGAGAGCTTGTGAATGAAGATCAGCAGGTGGAGCACCATGATTGCTGTTGCAGTGGGTGTCTGCTATAGATATCCTGAGCAGGAGGAAGTGGTAGCAGAGGCCTTCTTCAGATAACTGGAATAAGCATCACATTCCCAGGCCCTGGTCCTTAGGGGGGACTTTACCACCCTGATATCTGTTGGAGGGATAACATATAAGGGTTCAAGTAGTCTTGGAGACTCTCTAGAGCATGTGGCTGATGAGTAATTGAGGAACCAAGACGGCAGGGTGCTCTGCTGGACCTGCTGATTACAAGCAAGGAAGAACTGGTCATGTATGTGAAAGTCAGAGACAGCCTTGTCTGCAGTGACTATAAGATTGTGGGTTTGCCGTCCTACAAGGGCACAGCAGGCCAAAAAAAGCAGGACCACAGCATGGTGTTTCAGGAGAGCAGACTGTGTCCTCTTCAGGGATCTTCTTGAAAGAATCCCATGGGATATGTCTATGGAGAGGATAAGAATCCAGAAGAGCTGGTTGATTTTTAAGGATCACCTTCTCCAAGCTCAAGAAGTTTGCCTCCTGACAGGTAGGGAATCAAGCAAAGGGAGCTGCAAGGGCCCACTTTGAGTGGGTCAGGGATACTGATGACAAACAGCATAGAAAAAAGGTGAGGTCCTAAATACCTTCTCTGTCTCCTTCTTTACAGGTAAAATCAGCCTTCTGGAATCCCAGGCCCTGAGACCAAAGGGAAAGTCTGGAGACTAGAGTGGAAGAGGAGCAGGTTAAGGAGCACTTAATAAAAACAAGCCGTGGGGTCTGATGTGTATATCTGATGTATATCTGATGTATATAAGTCTATGGGGTCTGATTTTTTGCATCCAGAAGTACTGATGTCATTGCAAGGCCAGTCTCGGTTATCTTTGAAAGATCATGGCATTAGGGAGAGGTTCCTGAAGACTAGGAGACAGCAAGTGTTACTCCTGTCTTCAGGATGGGTAGGAATGAGCATCTGAGAAACTACAGGCCAGTCAGCCTCACCTCCAGTCCTTGGGACACTGATGAAGAAAATTACTCCTTAAACGATTTGCATGGTGATAATACTAAGGGAAAGCAAAGGATACAGTGCTGTGAGGCATTCCTAAAAAGCATGATTGGTATAATTTATTTCTACACCACCACTCCCTTCAGAGCCCTACAGACAGTGGCCTTACTGATTTCAATTTGGATGCTGTAGTATCCTTTCTAGAATATTCTGGAGAAGGTGATATTACTGCTTGATTAAAACTTGAAGTGGCCCTGTTAATTTTTATCATTCCTGATGTGTTGTAGCTGTTCGTTCACAGGTCAAAGGGAAAAGTATTTGACTGTGTTTTCAGCAGTAAACCTGTGTAGTATCCTTATTTCTCTGTTTTCTTCAGTCTTTCCATGATAAATATGTGTACATCTTGCAAAACTTCTTCAGCTATTGTTTTCTCGTCTACTTTGCACTTCTGGCAGGCAACATATTTTTTTTTGCTGTCTAAAGACTAGAACATTTTTGCATTCAGGGAACATGGTGGGTAGAAATTGAGCCTTTTAACAAGGTTTATATTAACCTAGGATAAACATGACTCTGAAGATGTGAGTCTGACTTGATGGTGACAAATCCTAGTTCCTCATGCTTTTCTGGTAGAAGAATTAGCAATGACAGTAGGTATGACTATACTGTGATTTATGGTATTCACTGTTATTTGCGTAAAGAGGGTCAAAACTGAAATTTTGACTCTTTTGGCTATCTTGTCACATGTGTTTTAGAGAGGTGGTAAAAGAATGGAGAGGGACAAAATATAAAGCAGGTGATATGTTCTTGAACTCTTGACTTTGAGCAGCTGCATTTTAAAAGCTCTCATTCTATTTTGCTGGTATGTCTGTGAGGCCTTTCCATTATGCGTGCAAATACAATCTGATTAGTATTTTTTATAAGCTTGTCTTGTCTGCTTTTATTACAGACATCACCTTCAGACATGGGGCCACCACAACCATTAAATCAAGAATATTTAGCTATTATTTGTAATAAATGTCAGCAGGGCTGAATTGAAGCCAGCAGGAAATGTTCAGGGCAGAAAACACACTGACATTCGTTCATGCAAATTTGTACCACTAGTAGAATTAATCATAAAGAGGGAGGGTAGAACATAAATTGCATTTATATTACTGTTTTGGTAAATTGTGATTCATCATGAAGATGAGGGCTATAATGGGTAAGCAGCAGCCTAGTGACAAAGAGCCACATGCAAAGTATAGTTAGGTTGAGCGTAACTTCCAAGACAAGATGTTTAAAAACTCTTTTTAAGTTACAATGGTTTGATGTAAAAGGGAAATGAAAACTGCATCTCCTCAAATTTTAACAGATAATTTAAAAAAAAAAATATTCAGGCAACTTTTTGGTATTTTGTCTTTTCTCTCTCTTTTCGCAATGTGGACTGATCTGTTCTTCATACTATTTGACCAGAAAACAATAGCTGTAGAAAGTTTTTTGAAGGTAAAATACATCAGGCCTTTTTAACTTCAATATTCTATACTCTAGGAAACTTACTAAATATATCTATTCAGAATATAGGATGTGAATTCTTGTATTTCAATAGAAACAGGGTTTTTTGACAGGTATCTTTCTGCAGTATGGAAATGTTTTGCTAGATTTTGGCTTGAGATCACCACCAGAATTTATGTTGATATCCAGGAGGATATCTAGTGTCAGGAAGGTTAGAGGTCCAGAAGTTGCTGGGAGGACAGACCACCTCTTAGTGATTTTGAACCGTGTAGCCTACAGAGCTGCCATAGACAGAAATTGCTTCAGAAATCCAGCCATTTAGTACTGTTGGACTGATGCAGACTAGGAATTGAATTCTGGTGACTAGTGAATTCAGGTCTTAAAAGTTTTGCTGATGACAACTATAAACAAAGTGCTCCCTTCACCAGTACTATTCTTTGCAAATTCCAATAGACAAAGCAATATTAATTGCAAATATGTTAAATAATTAGCATTTGAAAAATATATGATGATATATATATTTAGTAGTTCTATTCCTTTGTATTTGCTCCTAACAATGTACAGAGAAACTACTGTTAGATTTGGTTGTCACTAGATCAGGATCTGATGGACAGCCTACTAGTAAATCACTACTTGACAGAAGTAAAAAAAAAAATTTAAACCCATTTAGATATATCTCAGTGCAATATTTGTTGGAAATTACCCACCTGAATAATCTGTAGAAAAACTGTAATTACTATTTTCTTGTATAACATGTAGTCTTTTGCAGCAAGCTGTAAGGAATATTATAATGTGAATCTGTTAGTGATAAAACTTAGAAAAGAATTAATATTGTATTTTGTTATTCCTGAAATGTGAAAAACCAGAGGATAAAAGCATATATATTTTTATCTCCTTCTATTATCTTGACACAAAAAGAAAAGTTTAAATCTGTTCTTGAAGAGATTAAAAAAATAAACCAGATGACTGGAGCTGACATAAAAATGTTAGGGGAATTTATAGACAATAACTATTTTTCAGTTATTCAACAGTTCTTCAGTTGTAGAATTTAAACAATGAGTCAGAGAGAGCATGAAGCTGAAGTATGATTCATAAAATTAAAATAAAAAACTTTTGTATGGTGATCTCTGAGGCAAGTATAATTTTCAGAGTACTGAATTTCCTGAAGTGCCAAGGAATTAAATGCGAAACAAATATTCCAAACCAATATTCCATTCTCACTGTTTATATTTATTGCATGGAGGGCTGTCTTGCAGAGTGGGGGGACATGTAAATAAAACCACCTTTTTAAGTACCAGAAGGAGGCAGTGTTAATTGTTTCCTTAGGGTTCTGCTTTTAGTTGCTGAAGTTGGGCAACGGAGTTGATTTCGTTGAGGGGAAAGGAATGCTTCCTGTTAAGTGAAATACAGCTGCTTGTCAAATAATTCATTAATTCACACAGCTTAACTTGTACTGCTCAGCTGTCATTAGCATATTATGATCACTGAAAGAAATCATAATTAGAAGTCACTGGTCTTTTTTTAGGGCAAAATGTTTGATTTTTGTCTTCCATACTGTAAGTCTTAATCAATCTTAAGTTTGAATCCTGACTACACTGTGCTTTAGGGACAAACTATTTTGTGGTATAAATATACAGAACCAAGAGAGTTCATGCTGAAGAAATCTGACTTTTTATCTGTCCCATCGTTTCAGAATATTCAGTAAACTTTAAACAGCACTTTTTTTTTTTTATTTTTTTAACATGAGAAATCTGATATGCAGTGGTGTCATACTGAGCCTTGGTAAACCCACTGTTGCAATACTTCAATAAGTTCTGATTTCTTCATCTCAGGGAGGAATGACGAGAGAAGGAGCAAGCAAAGGCAGCTGAAATGATAAAAGGGAGAGGGAAGCTGCTTTATGGGCAATGACTAAAAATGTTACAAGTTCAGTTTGAATATGAGAAGACTAAGAAATATATGATTAAGATTTATAAAGTCTTCAAGGTGGAGCATAAAGTGGATTATATTCACCAGATTACATCATATTTTAAGCAGGACCTGTCGCTGATAATGTCGGAACGGCCAAGGCGACACAGATATCAGAGTCAGACATAGTCCAGGTGCAAGGTGATTAGGAAGCTGTTTATAGCTCTCAAGCATTTCTTTTATACTCTTTGTACCCTATCGTGTCACAACACAATTGGTCAAAAGTCTCAAGCATAAGACACTGCACACACTCTTATTGGTGACACTGAAGACACTGTGCATGCTGTGGCATGCTATTGGTGACACTCTACACATTTTGATTGGTGACCTTTGATCTGGGCTGCATTGTGTTTGTTCCATCCGGTATTACAGTAAATATTTCCTAAAAGTTGTTTAAATTCCTCATCACTAATTGCCAGGCTGCTGACAGGTTCTCTGTCAACCCCGACAATTCCCCCTCTTTTTTTATGCTGCAAAGATGGCTTTGACAGTCTGTTGCAGGGCCCTTTGCAACAGGCTGATCAAGCAAGGCACCAGCATTGGCAAGCCCTGATCCAAAGCTAAAAAGAAACACAGAACAACATCTCACTAAGAAAGAATCCAGAGAGCTCATCCACTATTCAAAACAAGGATTCGCTACAGTCCAGGAGATCCATGCAATACATTCCCCCAAAGGTCTCAACACTCCAATACAAGAGCATTGTTAAGTTCGCACACACAGATATTGTCACACATATATATCTACACAGTCTCTCTCTCTCACACAGTCCCTCTTCGGTCATGCATTGGTGGCCACCTCAGTCACTCTTCATTCACACATAGCTGGAATTTCTATTATACTTTTACATTTTAATTACACAGTTTACTTTTTAAGTAGTTATTGGCTGTGTACTTCTCAGTTTGTCATCTTTGGCAGTCACGTCTAACAACTATACCTGGCTTGAAAAGGAATACATACAGGGAATATAAGGCCTACACAAATTTAAATGAGATCTATTCTGATTTAGCGTATGTTTATGTGCCTGCATAGTCTCTTTCCCCCCTTTTATATTTTAAAATGTTCATTTGATGTGTAAAATTCAGGGTTATGTTATTCTATTAGCACATCATCTAATTCTGTATTTTTGTTCATCCTTTAGCAACATGCTGTAAGAGCTGTAAATTAATACAAATGGTATTTCACTTCTTGAATTTAGTTACTCATAATTCGCATCTTTATTGAACCAAAGGAATATTGTATCAAATATGGATTAAATTAGCCTGTACAATACGTTATCATGGGATCGTCTACTCAACAGTGTTAATACTGAAAAAGAATTTCTGAACGT